AATTTATTTTAAATAAAAAATAAATATTATTTTTTATGTAAAACTTATATATTATTTTAAAAAACCATTACAATTATTATTCAATTATTACTTCATATCATAAACTCTAAAGACGTAAAATAGATATATATTTTTTTAATTCAATCTATTTATACATTTTAAGTTGATCATGGATTTTGATTTTTACCGTTTGATTTTTATAAATTTTATAATTATAAAAAATTTAAAAAACTGTTTTTAAAAAATTTAATATTAATAATTTAAAATACCATTACAATTATTATTCAATTATTACTTCATATCATAAATTCTAAAGACGTAAAATAGATATATTATTTTTTAATTCAATCTATTTATACATTTTAAGTTGATCATGGATTTTGATTTTTACCGTTTGATTTTTATAAATTTTATAATTATAAAAAATTAAAAAAACTGTTTTTAAAAAATTTAATATTAATAATTTAAAATATTTACTTATTTAATAATATTATAATTATTTTTTTAATAATTATAATAATATATTATAAAAATATATGAAAATTATTTAAAATTTCATAATTTATAAATATTATAAATCATAAATATACTAAACAAAATATAAATAAATAATTCTACTTTTTATTTTCTCAACCCTGAAATTTTATTAAAAAAATTTCAGATACACCATCTCCTCCTTTAACACAATTTACCTCAATTCCGAATTTAAAACTTCAACACTAGCTCAACCATAAAAGATTTGGTAAATTGAAAAAGAGAGAACTTAATATTATCACCAAATTTATTAACTTGCCTAAAATAATTGTCTCAAGTAATTAAAACCAAAAACTTAAATAAGAGGGCTACCTCTACCGTAGGCTCATTCTATAGTGTAAAAAAATCAAGTTTATTAATTTTAAATGAAGAAAAATACATAAAGAAAGGTATATAATGTTTTGAGCCCCAATATAAATGCTATGATGAAGAAACATAATGGAGGACCACTTCGGGATTTTAGTGGTAATCCTCGTTATAATTATTTTTTGGGACTATATTATATACAACAAAAAAATGAATGAAAATGGGGGCAATTGGGAAGGTAGAACAATGTAGGGGAAAAAAAAAGGGAAAAAGAAAGAAAGACCAACTGTGCTTTTCTGTGGAAACAACAAATGCACAAACAATCTTCCAGCCCCGGCATGAATGATTCTGAAATGGGGAGGAAAAAGAATGGGTATTGCCTGATAAAAAATTTTAACTTGAATCAATGTCCCTAACAACCTTGCGGTGCCGCCTTGAACCGGACCGCCTATCTCTGCCACGTCTTGGTGTGACCTTCCTAACTGGAGAATTCACCACCCTTTCACCTGAAGTTTCAAGTGAAAAAACTCTTGGTGGATCATTTGGCAACATTAGGGGTGGCGGTGGAGGATAAACTGCTGGAGGAGCCATACGTGCCAGTTGCGCTAACACGCTTTTATGGTGTCTCTGCAAGCAAAGAGAATGACAGAGGGGTGAAGGACTAATCAAAGGAATTAAGTCCCTATTGGTATATGCTATAGTTCCATCATCATAGAAACCAAAATGTAATACTATTACTGTTGGTGTATATATATAACCAGAGAAACAAAAGATACCTGTACTACAAAGTTGCGCCTTTCACAGTCTAAGAACATATTGACAGTCCAGTTTGTCTTTGCTGTAATCTTATCCCTCACTGTGGAAAAACTGATTTGGTCTCTGGAAGTAAAACGGTCAACTTCGTTGAACCAAAGACAAGTAAAGAGGTTGCTGATAGGAACATGCTCTCTTATTATCACACATCCTTCAGGAACATCTGGAGAGGCAGCCAGAAAAATAAACTTCAGAAAGGACAGACAATAAGAAGGATGACCAAGTACAATAAAAGGCAAGCATCTTGCAACCTACCACTAGTGATAGGAAGCTTAGCCTCGGAGTATGGAGTCAAACCCTCCTTCTTATAGAAATCAACCTGAAAGTCGATCGAGGCATTATCATATTTCCCAGCAGCTTTGTTTGCCTCAGCTTCAACAAACAAATCAAATCGTTTATAATGTCTAGAAATTGCAAAAGTGGCATTTTTTCTCCACAGAAACCTGGAAAAAAGACATGGAAGAGTTATCAAGAACAAACATTTACTCCAAAAACCAGCTAAATTGCACAAAGAAGCATTCTCTTCAATTCACAGAAAGAGGCACACTCCTATTCCTACAAAGGTGATAATTTTTGACATCTCACTATCAAAGTCACCTGAGGATAATACCTACTTATTTTTGAATCTAGTAGCCTACTTAAACAAATAACAAGTCATTTATTTCCAGAAGAGAAGAAAAAATCCAAAAACAAAAAGGTACCTCTCAAGAATTTGATATGGATCCACAACAAGCTCCAGTTTACCATCAATCCACAAAGAAAAGCGAGCATTTGGAAATAGCCTATGTGGAAGAAGTTTTGGAATCTGTCACAGGTTTAACTCAAGTCAAAGGGCATATCAAAGTAAGACTTCCTTATGCTTAAGAGAGTCTGTTCAGACATGAAATCTCAATTATTCCAGAACGTACTGTCAACATCTTAAGTAAAACCAGCTTTCAAGTAGCCTTTACTTTAGCACCATATTAGTTCATTTGCACTGCATGCAAATCTGAATAAAAAAACATCTACGCTAATTCTAACATGTATGTTCTGACTAAAATGTTAGATTGACCCTTGCTTCTTTCTCTTCGCATATGATGGACTACAATTGTCATCCCTATCAATGATTGATATTCCAAAGAAAACCAGTAGCCTAAATTCAACAGACATGTTGATTACAATTAAGAGCACTCACCTTTCCATTCCGCCTTCCATCTGTGTAAGGAAGATTGTGCACAACAACAACTCTCCATATTCCAATCTTTTTACTATTTACCAGATTACCATTACGTTTCAACTCTGCTTCTGTTTCTTCATCAACAAACATGTAGAAACAGACAGTTTGCTTGGAGTATTCACTAATATTAGTTGGCTGTTGTATGTTATCAAAAGCACCTGATATAAAATGGAATTTATTTAATTATTTAATAAGCATTTTACCATCTTAAACATAACAGTTGAAGAAACAGTTTACAAATTCAGTACCAAAAATAGCTGATCCAACAACCACTCCATTGCACTGCTCCATCTCAAGAAGATCATCGTCATCAATGTCAAATCCTGTCCCATGGCCAGGTTTTCTTCCCTTCACAAATCTGGACCCAAAAAAATGGAGGAAAAAACACATTGAGGAAAATATAAAATCCGCATGCTAGCATGAACATCCCTAAGGGATAGCCAAATGGTTTGGTCATGAAACTTCCAAGTTAGAGTTCTCAAATTCAAATTCTTGGTCTGGTGAGGAAAGGTTTTGAATTATTCACTTAGCTGTTCAAAAAAAGGAAAAAAGAAGAAAGAACCATACCCACAGTGCACCCTCATTGACTCTCTTATATCATAAGAATCATTACGCTGCTTCAAGGTAGGGTATCCACCAAAATCTGAACCTCCAAATTCTGTCTCCTTATTTAATGATTCCTCATAAATATATGTTAAATCCTTAAGTATGGGCGAAAATGAGGGAACCTTTGGCATTAAAGCAACAGCTTCCTCCACAGGAAGGTAACACACTGGGCATGCTGTGTCAGAAACAATCAAGTTAACTCAGCAACCATATTTACATGAGAGGAATCCTCTAGCAGCAGAATCAAACACTAAAAGAAACTTACGTCGTGGTCCAGTTCTTTTCCTGTCTGCAGGTGGAGGAGGCAAAGTAAAAATATTACATGGATGCCCTGGAGGAAGAGTGTAGCCCAGAAAATATGAAGGAGGAGGAGGGGGCATTATCTGACTCTTTTTTGCTTCCCCAGTGATCAAGGAAGACGTCTGATTGCCTGGATATGTAGTATGCAGACCATTTGGTTGCAGACTATTTATCAGGGGGGATCCAGGGGAATTTTTATTCAAGCTATCATTGGCACGCAAGTTCTGAACATTAGCAGTTTCCCGTGTATCATCACCTGAAGAAAAAAAAAAGTGATAGTACCCAAATAGGTGTTAAAATTTTAACCAGTCAGCTAAAATTCAAGTTCTAAATAAACAAGTATTGGATATAAAGGGACCAAACCAAACAAACCAACTATCCTCAAGTTTGAACATGGAATTCATCAGAAACTATTAAAATGTAATAAAATTTTTGAAAGAAAGAAATGCAGTTTTAGCAACATAGTGAATCAATTCAATTGAGCCGATCACAACTACTTCTCACAACATTAACCACAGTGGAACACATTAAATCATTAAGATTGATAACATCCAAGGATCGTTCTGATTTAATAATTAACACAAAGTGGACTTCTAACCCAAAACTCAGCAAAACAGAAGAATTATCACAGACTAATATTCAAAAAGAGATAATAATACAGGAACAAACCTTTTCCAACGTACAAGACCCAAACAAAAACTGCTGCAGAGATGACACAGAGGAGCAGCATTCCCACCTTCTTGCGGCCAGCGAGTTTGCAGATCCAATGGACCAATGTCTCCTTCTCCTTGAACATTTTAGAGGGCTTACTTCTTATTATTGTGGGAACTTGAGTCGGCAATACACCGTTCTGCAGCTGTTTGTCCAAAGACCCATAACTCCCAGAGCGAATCCCCAATGACCCACCAGTCATTTTCCCCTTCTCAAGCCCAAAGACACACCTCTCATCACCCCACAAGCTCTCGTGAATCAAACTTCCACTCCAGGGATCACCGGACACAATGCTTCAACACCCAAAACAATCAATACCCACTTCACCAGACGAGCCCCAAACTCTTTTGGCACCTCCAGATTGGACTGAAATGTAGTTCAATAATCGAAGTACCACTTTAAACTCAACTTTGATTTTTAAACAAAAAAACAGAGAAACAACCACAGCTTGGCGGCGACGGAAGAAGCAAACAGAAGAAAAATCCAAACCCAATTTCTTTTCCAAAAAAAGTTAGTGAATTCACTAAGAACAGATCAAAATGAGTAAGAATCAACAAGAAATGGATTTGGGTTTTCCCGATTGGTTGAAAGGGTTTATGGTGCGAATCTTGGTTTTCAGAAAATCGAGGGGGTTTTTAGGATCAAATCTGGGATCATCAATTTCCGAGTTTTTTTTTCTTTCTTTCTTTCTTTCTTTCTTTTCTTTTCTTTTTTGAGTTGTCTAAATTCGAGGTTATTGAAAATCAGGAAATTCCCCTGATATATTTATAATACCCCTCATTATAAATTAATTAAAACACGGAAAACGATCTGATGGATGGTTTTCCTCCACGTTGACTGGATGTCAATAATCTGACGGCGAAATAATTTTCAGGATATAATAATAATAATAATCTTAAATGTAAGAAAGACATTTGTTAATTATCATTAATGTAATAAAAAAGAATAGAATAAGCCAACGCCGGATATCAAAATCCAAAAAAAAAAAAAAAAGAATAAGCCAACACGCTTTATTAGGATACGTATCGGTGAAGTCTTCCAAATTTCCTTTTTCTTTTTTTTTTTAATGATTTGAACATCAAAATGTTTTTTTTTTTTCTATTTTCGCCATCTCATTTTCAAGTTCGAAGCTTATACAATTTGCCAATTTCCATTAAAGGATTTAATTAACATTTTACCATGAGGATGTTATAGGCAATGTTTTTGAACCCGGCCCGGTGGCTGGCCCGTTTTGACCACCGGGTCCGAGTCAACAGGTTGAACCGGTTCACCCGACCGGTTCAACCGGTCAACTAAAGTCAACTAAAAAATTTTTTTTTGGGCATTTTTAATTTTTTATTGAATTTTGCTTTTATACCTTACCTTCACGGTTTCACCCGAAAACGATACAAATCGTTTTGAGCAGAACAGACGAGGGAGATGAAGATGATCGGCGAAAGAGAAGAAGTGCAG